TCCTTCCTTCCTCCCCTTCCTTCCTCTCCTTCCTTCCTCTCCTTCCTTCCTCTCCTTCCTTCCTCTCCCCTGGCTTCAGATCAGTCAGTCTCTTATTGTATGTAATATAGTTGTCAGCTAGAATGAGAAATGTTAATTCATATTCAGCGCCTCAGGTCAGGCCCTGGTTTTAAAGCATTAGGGAGAAATGTGTAAAATTGTATGGAAAATCTAACTTTATCCTCAAACAAGTGGGCTGGATGAGGTTATGCTTAATTACTCGTAAGTTATGCAGGTAGTAACTGTGTTTGGCCAGGAGAAGTTGCTATGCAAGGACTGAAAGTCAAATCATTGGAGAATGCAGCTGTTAAAAATCCATGCAAATTGTGGAAACTGCAATGTTTTTCCTAGAGTTTATAATTTTGGATGCAAAAAGTTACCCAAACACTGAACAGTCAGCTTCTTTGACAAAGTTTGAATTTCTTCTCCAAAGCATCATTATTTTAGAGCTTTTTAAAGAGAAGATTGAGTTTGTTTGAATATTTTTTTCTTTGCTCTTGGAACTGCTAACTACTTTAGATAAAAAGCTGAAACAGGCAGCCTGAGGTAGTGACACGGGATAGGAAATTTCCAACTGGAATAAGTGGACAAAATTGTAAATAAGCAAGTTTGCCAGCTGCTGCCAAGAGGGTTTTTCTGTGGGCAGCATTAGGTGGCACTTACACTCAGCAGCACTATGGGCTCCACCTGTGTGGCTGGAACTGTCATTCTTCATTGTGTATAAATACTGGCTGCCAAATGCTTGCTGACTTTGTTGATTTTTTTTTATTTCATTGTTTTTTTTTTTTTAAAGAAAGGCACCCAGGAACTTCTGAAATACCTAAGAAGCAAAATTCAAGGTACGTTGCTGTGTTGCGTTGCATTTTAAAGAGAACCTTCCTAAGAGATTAAAATAGAGTAGAACCTACAGAGAGTGGCTTTTCCAGTCGAATTGCCTTCAGTCATCCTGCAATGTTCGAGTTTTCTTTACTCAACAGTTTGCCCTTATATTTCAGTACTGTTTCTTTCTCTTATTCTGTTAGGTAACACCAAATAACAAACATCATTGAGGATTATAATTTAGAAAAAAACTTCTTGGGTGTTTTTCCCCTGATCCCTTTATACATTTTGCATGAGGAATTCCAGTAGCTTTTTTGGTTTTCCCCTGAACATGATGGGAAGTTTACATAAGTTGTTCTTCTTAAACTTGCCATCTGTCTGCTGGCTTCATCCCAGTATAGAAGAGTAGGTGAGATTTTGCAAAGCTATTTTGTATTATTTGTTCATGTAATAACACGGGTAGCACAGTCCTGTGATCCTCAGAAAGCACATGCATAAAAAAAGTCTGCCTTAAAGTCTTGGTGATGCCTTGAAGGGTGTCACGTAGCTGACTAAGAATATAAAAAGTTTTTGGGGAGAAAATCTTCATCTGTCTGAAGTTTTAAAGCATAGAGTAGGCAAAATGGCTGAGTTCACTGATCTGGTTAAATATACTATGGAAATGATTATGCTGCACTTAAATGGCAAAAAAACATTTGGGCTCGTAATTTGGGGGGAGCCTTGATAATACATGGAAGCAACTTTTCTCCAAAATGGAATGTGTGGGTTTTCCTTTCTGCCAAGCAGGTTTTCTCCCCGTCTGCCGGAGGATGGCAGTGTTAATTAGGGTACTGCAGTGTGTCACATGGCCTCAGAACGTCGGGTTCCGTGCAAATCCGACCTATTATTAACTCACCAAAAATTAATTGGATGCTGGAATACATACTCGGAAGCTTATCTGATGAACTGTAATAGATAACGTAACTGTAGATAATAAAATTAGTTAATATCTTGCATGTACAACAATGCCTATGATTTTACTCCACCTGTTATGGCATCTAAGTTGGAGCTAAACCAGCAACAGTCGTGTTTCTGTAGAGGTTTAAATTGGAAAAAGGGCTCTTTTCGCTTGTTTTTGGCCCTTTTGACCTTTCTAAATGAAAGGACAGCTAGCCAGGGGTGGGTACAATTGCTAGTAGACTTTTATTCATGAATGCTGCTGAATTTCCATAGAGTTGTCTTTTCTTTCTTCTAGTGGAAGTGGGATTTATCATGTTTCTAGCTAAGCTTCACCCTGGTTCAGTGAGCGTGAGTCCCTGGGGTGCGACACCACAGCTCGGGTGCGCAGAACGATGCTCGTAATCTCTTACATTTCTTGAATGGTCCAAGTATTTCTTGAATGGTCCTTGCCATGCCAGGAGCTTTTAATGGGGATTGTGGATAGCAATCAAAAGGAGCTCTACAGAGGAGGGTATGGTGAAAGTTTCTATAAATATTAATATTTTCACTATAATTGTGGTCAGATTTCTATAAATATTAATATTTTCACTATAATTGTGGTCGTCGCTTCTAGCCCTACTTCCTCATTAGGAAGCTACCTAATGAGGGTAGGGCTAGAGCTAGTAGCCCCCTAGTAGGGCTTCTAGCCCTACTTCCTCATTAGCTACCAGCTACCACGAGCCTAACATCTCTGTTGCTTCCTGACCTACTTGTTCAAAAATCCAAGTCAACCTCTCTCCCCTCCACCTCTCCCTAAAAAGAACCAACCCAGAAACCCAAGATTACAAAAACCCTTTACTAGAAAATTTTAGAAATCATCTGAATCAGATTATATGCAGTTGAACCAGAACAGAGGAGGAGTTGAAAAGGGTGGTGATGGTGGGTGACCAGGGACACTAAACCTCTCCACCCAGGTTGTTCAGAGCACCACATCTGCCTGTAGTTGGTGGGACTATATACATATGTTATCTCTAGATGATGTAGCCAGCCCAAGTGAGGAGCCTCCTGTGACAGCCATGACTCTTCCAAGTGAGTCAAGGATTAACATGCACGCCATAACTTCACTAAAATTATTGGAATATAGGTACGTGTTTTGAAATATTACCTATTTCTAAAGTCATAAGAACACTGTCCTATTTTTTTGACCTTTTTTTTTTCTCCCCTTTCATGATACATACCAAACTCTGCAGATCCTGCTGCGTTTGTGAATTTTTCACTTTAATTTGCGTGCTCAGGAGTAGGCAGATTTGAACTGCGTTGAGTTTTTTAAAATTATCTCTTTATATTACCAAATATTCCGCAGTACCATTCCTTCTAACTCACTGGAATGCTTAATACCTTCAGGTGCTTTTAGTACCTTTTAAACTTGTTTAGAATTTTCATTAGGTCTCAGAGCATCTTGCAGTAGGTGAGTATCTGTTCAGTTATTTCTTACGTGTAACCAACAATGTGACTCGTTAGGTTGGGAAAGGGGAAAAAAACCTTATTTGCTGAGAACTGCTGGGTGGAGTGAGAATGGGAATGTAGGAAGGACCTCGCTGTGGTGAAAGGGCTGGGGTGGCTTTGCTCACCACAGACGTTCAGGAGCTCCAGATGGAGTGGTTACCCGAGGTCCCCATCGCTGTGTTGGAGATTTTTTCGGAGCTGAGGGGGGGAAATCTGCTTGTTGCTGGTCTTGGCACACTTGCTGGCCCAGTGTGCAGCATTCACACGCTTGCTGAGGCAGTGATGTAACTCTGCTCTCACTGATCTTTCTTCCGCAGGATGACAGATGAAATATGGTCCAGATGCTGTGTAGTGCGGTGCAGTGATTGATGGCTTTCTGATGAACAGTCCTTCAAGGACTTCAGACTGTAGATACTTAGATATCTCTTCTGCTACTCATCTTTTTCTAAAGGACGATGAAAACAGCTTGTTAATAAATAGGAAATGATGAACTTGTTTGTGTCACTCAGCTAAATGCTTTCCTGTGTGCAGTGAGAAACAGGCGGCTGTGATTCCTGATGAAATGTTCGATGCAGTCAGGAGCAATCCTGTCACCACGCTCAACTTCAGCAAAAATCAGCTGAAGGAAATTCCACCCAGGTACTGTTACAAGAGCCATTCTCTCATTTGTTGCTTTCTTTTCTGCTTTTGTTCCTCAGCATCTCGTGTGTTTCCTAGTCAAGTATACTTACCCTGTGTGCTGTGTAAGTGTGCGTGTGCTCACACACAAGTGCAAGTGAGATGCTGAATAATACACGTGCATTTCTTGTCAGTGGCATGCAGGTGGGCCCGTTGATTGGCATGGGGGTTGCAGTAAGAAGCAGCTTGGCTGTACTCAGTAGAGCTTTCAGGACATGTTGTTTCTCACCTGGCTTTGCTCAGCGTTGTTGAAATGAATGAGAGGAGCCTGGTGTGACTTCTTGTAGTAACAAAGAGCTGCCCTTGGCTACAGTGTCCTGCTGTTTCCTCTACAAAGCAGCCTTTTTCCCATATGAAAATAATCTGTGTGGATCCACCACGTTACTGGGTGATAGCTTCATGCTGCAGCTGAGGTTCCATTTAAATTCCGCTTCTTCAGATAGCGTAATTGTTTGTGGGTTTATTAAGGAAACCTGAACAATTTCCATGCCTCACTTCTTGGTAGGTTGTGTCCCATCACCTGGCGTTTGATACTATTGCACTTGTTGCTTCATCCACAGGCAGGAAGAGCTTTCTCTTGACACTAATGGGAATAAATAGTCTTTTTGTGTAAGGAGGAAGGTTACTGCACCTCTGGTAGCCCAAAAAAGTCATGAAAGCTGATTTTTAAGGATACCACCACGTTTGTGGGGGTAACGTATTTCCATTGTCAGGCCTGAGTGTGCTGAACGTTTAACCTTGAGCACGTAGAACCTGAAGAGGTGCTGTCTCTTTCTCACAGGGAAAAATCACTTTTCAGTAGGATTTGAAGAAAATCAGTTTAGTGAGATAACGCTTGTGCCTCCCGTGCTTTTTCACCATTATTAGGGGCTGTGGCATTCACTGGGGAGGAAGGTGTAGGTGTGCAGCTGCTACGTGCCAGAGCACTCGGTGGCAGCCAGATAGGAGAGACGAGTATTTTCTCATTTAATTATCTTTTACTTTTAGGGCTAAAACAAAGTCCGTTGTAGGGGTTCAACAGCTAACTTTTTGAGCTGTTAAATGTTTTACAGCAAAACGTCTTAACATAATGCCCTTTTACAAGAAGCAGCGAGTGCTGCGTTTCCTGGAATTTGCAGTAGCAGAGCAGTGGAACAGAAATGAAAGATGGAAATAAAATAGCCATCTGTTTGACTGCTGAAGAAGATGGATAGTCGTTTTGTTAAAACTGTGGCAGGGCAGGAGATGGCAGTGACAGCTGTCTGTGCCATAGTTTCTGCAGTACCTTTGAGCTGCATTTAAGCGAGGAGGCGTCGGTAGTAAAATTTACTCTCCTAATACCTTCAGAAAAGTGATTCTGAGCTCTGTCTTTACATCAGGCGTAGGGCTCCAGGACAGGCAGCTTTCACAGCTGAAGTTTCCATTATCTTCTCTCCACAAAATTGCTTCTGAAATGTCAAGAAACATCGGGTGTCCTTGATTTGTAGAATAAAGCAAGTTTTTTTTCAATAACTTAGGAAATAGAACGCAAGCGTGGGCTTACGTAATGCAAGTCTATTCATGTTGGGTTTCAGGATTGCGGAGCTGAAGGACTCGGTTTGTGATGTCAGCCTTGGCTTCAATAAAATCTCCTCCATTTCCTTGGAGCTTTGCGTGCTCCATAAACTGACACATTTGGATATCAGGTTTGTGACGTGTGTTGGACTTCCTTTCTCAGTAACTTATTTTCGAGCCTTTTTAAAGCAACCATCTGTTACAGTGGAGTGGCAGTGCTGAAATACTTTTTCATTTCCCCAAATGCCTCCGTGGCAGTTGAGTGCCCGGCAGATCTGAAATAGCAAGTGGCCTAGATTTAGGCTTTGGTTAAGGAAAAACATAAAAAACAAGTGGGCAAGCTCTGAGACTTGCTGCGATGAAAGGTCTTGCCTCAGTCATAAAGAAGTTCTCAGAGATGTTAAGTTGCTATTTAAAAACAAACCCAAACCCCAAAACCAAAAAATCCTGGAGGAGAGCTGGGAAATAGTACAGGGAAGGCACAGATTTTGTTGTGCTGCCTGAAACTGAAGCTGTCTGTAGGTATTTTATTTGCAATAGTGACTTACTGTCATTCTGCCTTCTCTAACTTCTGAAAAACGCTCACTGCATTTGTTTAGACATCAGGATCAGCTCGCTGGCGTTCGTTATCTTTGGTGTTTCACCAAATGAAAAATAGCCAAGCACGGCTGCAGAGACAGGTTTTTTCTTTGGTTTGGTTTAAAGTAATCTGCCTGAGACAGGAGAGAATAATCTGCCTGTGCCTGCAGAGAGTCCAGCAAAGGGCCACCATGTCACTGAAGGGACTGGAGCATCTCTGCTACAGGGAGAGGCTGGGAGAGCTGGGACTGCCCAGCCTGGAGCAGAGCAGGCTCAGGGGGTGCCCAGAGGACGGAGCCAGGCTCTGCCCGTGGTGCCCAGGGACAGGAACAGAGGCCACGGGCACACACTGTCACACAGGAGGGTCCCTCTGAACGTCAGGAAGCACTTTTTCACTGTGAGGGTGACCGAGCACTGGCACAGGTTGCCCAGAGAGGTGGTGGAGTCTCCATCCATGGAGATATCCAGAACCCATCTGGACACAGTCCTGGGCCACCTGCCCTCGGGAGTGACCAGATGAGCTCCAGAGGTCCCTGCAAACCTCAACCAGTCTGTGATGCAGTGACATACGTGCTGCCAATGGAGGAGTTAGGCTGAAGGTTGCAGAGATTGATGATAGCAGGAGATTGATGAGGGTATGAGGTTGAATATGTCAGTGATGGGAGTTAGGCTGAAGGTTGCAGAGATTGATGAGGATATGAGGTTGAATATCTCAGTGATAAAGAATTTAGGTCTAAGTCTGGGCATCTTTTAGTGAGTGGTCTTTATTTTTCTGTAATGGCTCTTTGTGTCACGCTGAGGAGTGCCTTGTCTGTCCTTCCAAACCCCTGTCTTCCTTCTGTTTAAGCAGCTTCTGAATGGCTTGCTGTTGTGGGAATGGTGACAGCAGCCGTAAACGAGTTCGTTACAGCAGTTGGATACCAGGCTAAATGATGGAAGAGGTGTAGAGTTATCCCACTGATTCACTTTGGCTCCAGGAGCTGGGCAGTTTAGTCAGCTTTCCTCTGAAATCCAAGGAGCTGACTTGCCGGGCGGGTTTGTGCAGTTTAGATGCTTTGAAACACTTGGGAATCATTAGGGGAGGGATTTTTATATCTCCTTCTGGCAGAAGTGAGCATGCAAACCTGGCCTGCATTAGCAAGGATCTGTACTTGAGCATGGTCTTGACCCATTTATGAAGCAATTAATTGGTTTGAGGCAGCGTGTTACCACTGATAAATATGCATATTGTGTCTCTGTGGGTTCTTAACTAAAACTTCATAGAAGTTAGTGATTGTTGTCTGTCTTCATTTGATACACAGAAATAACTTTTTGACGTCTTTACCTGAAGAAATGGAGGCCCTGACAAGACTGCAAACAATAAATCTTTCTTTTAATAGGTGAGCAACTACTTACATTTCTTTAATATACAATAATAAAAAGAACTGGCCTAACTTCAGTATGATTTTCCTGTGATGTAAGAACGAGGGGGCACTTGGTCAACTAACTGTGAGCTTGAAGCCGATGAAGTGCACCTACTTCTTTACACCATGGGTGGTGTATTTTTCGAACTTCCTGCCACAGAAGTTTTGGAGAGGGACAGTAGCAGCTGGTTAAAAAAGGAATTAAACAATCTTGTGAACAATATATCAAAAAACGGATACCAACAGGACTACCCTTTGGCATCCCTAATACAGCAGCTCTGAATGATGGAGAAACATGAAGGGACTGGTGGGCAGGAAGCAGCCGGGAGATGTCCTTGGAGAGCATCTGCTGGTGCTGACAGCAGAGCCCTAGCACTGGGCTGGAAGCACCCAGCACGGTTCCTCTGGCCTGTGCCCCGAGAGCAGAATCCTGCAGTTGTGCCAGAGCCACCGAGCTGTCACCGGGCACGTTGTGTTCAGCTCGTTCACTGTGTGCAAGGTGAAATAATGGATGCTTTCTCCTTTCAAAGCAGCATGTTTAAATGTTTTAGCTAAAATTCTAAAGGCTGCTGATGTTTTGAATGCCCTGTCTCTGACTTTCATTGCTTTGCCTCCTTTTTCTTACTGAAGATTTAAAGTATTTCCCAGCGTCCTGTATCACATCGGAGCACTGGAGACTGTCCTGCTCAGTAACAATCAGGTTGGCTCCATAGACCCTCTGCAGCTGAAGAAGATGGACAAGCTTGGGACCCTGGACCTTCAGAACAATGACCTCCTCCAGGTGCCACCAGAACTTGGAAACTGCGAAACTCTGAGGTGTGTGTCGTAAGCGGTGAGCTGGTTTATAAAAACACATCCTGACTGATTCCTGAAGAGATTCTTCCCTCTGAGGGTGGTGAGGCACTGGCACAGGTTGCCCAGAGAAGTCGTGGCTGCCCCATCCCTGGAGGTGTTCAAGGCCAGGCTGGATGGGGCTTTGGGCAACCTGGTGTAGTGGAGGGTGTCCCTTCCCATGGCAGGGGGGTTGGAACTGGATGATCTTTGAGGTCCCTTCCATCCCAAACCAGTCTGATTCCGTGATTCGGGGCATGTTTTGCCAGAGGGAAGCGTACTGATGGGCCGTGTGTGTTTGTAGGTCCCAGAGTCTCTCTTACCATCTGTAAACCAATGCAGTTTCTTCCCTATTTCCTCGATATTGTAGAGAACTGGAGTTGTCGTTTCATGATTTTTAGAAGAATGGGCAGGGTGTGTTGGTTTGTGTAAATCTGATGTCAGAGCCGAAGTCAGGTACGTTGTCTGTGCGTACAGACACGCCGCTGGCACACCTGTGGGCGAGCCATAGTGGTGTCTGTCAGTTAATACATGTGTGTAATCACCGTGCTGTGGAAGGGACAGGAGAACGTTCTCCAAGGAACGTGCAAAGAGCCGTGACTGCGCACACCCTCACATCCTACATGTGAGTAGTCTGTCCCGTCAAAGGCAGCAAATTTCTGGTCCCTGTGCTTTTCCCCTTCAAGGACACTTTCTGGAGGGACTTCAAAAATACAAAACAAGCCACCACCACCTCCCACTCCCCACCAGCAAAAACCTCCAGAGATTTATGTGTACCGAAGAGTAGCGGCTGACAGCCAAGCTGGAAGTGGAGGATTATGGTTTAACATCGCTTGCCCCTTTTATTGTACCATTTCTGTATTTCAGAAGTTCTTTTTCTCACTCTTTCTTCTGGCAGAGGCTTGCTGCACAAGCATGGTACGTGTGTAGTGTGTGTCTACAACAACACACCACCGCTGGTTTATTAGCATAAATTAAAATTCAGGTGTCTCAGAAGAAGATCAGTTAGTGTGAACTAGGGAAGCAGAATTAAAAATCTTTTAGTAGAGCAGAAGAGGAATTACTTAAGAATTTCAGAAGATTCACAAATCTCTCTGCAGTGTATGAATGTGTTGGTACAAGGGAGAACCTTGGTCCCAGTTATCCAAGTCTCTCTCTGTTTTCCTAGGACCCTTCTGTTGGAAGGAAATCCGTTCCGCACTCCCCGCGCGGCCATCCTGGCGAAAGGCACAGCTGCAGTGCTGGAGTATCTGAGAAGCCGAATTCCTACTTAAACAGCCCGTGTCCTTGGGAGCCACAGCACGGTCCTGTCCAACCAAACACCGTGTGCTTCTGCTGCCTTCCTCCTCCTCCATCAGCCCTTCGTAAACCCGCCCTGTGCCACACAGCGTTCCTCCTACTGTGTGTAACTTGCACATTAAGAACGAGCTCACCTATGACTTCCCCTCAAGGCTGCATGTTTCAAGAGCGTGTTTCAAACGCCACAATAAATGTTTACACTTTTTGTAATCAAGAATGCTGTGGGGAGTTGCCCTGGGTAACAGTGACAGTGTTTTTTTTTTCTACAAATAAGCTAATTTTTCCAAGAATCGTCAGCATCAAAGTATTTGAGCAAAAGGCAGAAGTAAACCCGTCGATTTTTGTGTGCCTGTTCTTTAATCTCCTTTAAGGTGTTCAGTCTCTCTTCACTGCTGCCTCACCAGTCGGCTACTGGTCTGTGTGTGCTGGCACGCTCGAGCCCTCCAGCTGCATGGTGAGGATGAGGAGGCGGCGCGGGAGCAGGCACAGAGTGGTCGTGCTGGTCGCTGCACTGGAACAATAAACGCCTCTGGTGGATGCACGGTGTGGGTTATTGAAGTTAGGAAGTTCTTTAACTTAAGTGGTTAATTAAG